GCTGAATGCAGACATCCCTGTGTCTGGGTTTGGACCTGAGCTGGCTCCCTCTCAACGGGCACAGTGTACGTGTCTCAGCCCGACCTGAGCGCTAACCTCTGACCTCTGGCCCTCCCGAGTGGTGGCCTCCGCCCTTCGCCCTCACCACCCACCTTCCTGCCTCACAGCCTTGCTCACGTGCTCTTGCAAGCTGCCCCGAGGCCTGGCTGCCTCAGAGCGAGACAGCCCCGGATGGTGGGTTCGGATGTGCCCGCGAGAAACCTGAGAGCAGAGGGCCGGGGGCCGCCGGGTGAGGGCCCTGAATTCCAGCTTGGAGCAGCTACGGTGATGGTGGCGCGAGGCTCTGCTTCTGAGAAAAACACTGAGCTAAGGCCGCCCCTGCCCTTCCTTGCAGCCTGTCCAGGGCACTGGCCTCCAAACGGTGAGTTCCCAGGCCCCCCCGCTCCTGCTGGGCAGTCACCTGTCTTGTCTGGACGGGGGCTGGGTTCCTCCCCCATCCCTGCCTTCTGCCTTCCAGGGCCTTGGCGGGGTGGGAAGGCTCTGGGGGCATCCTGGACCTGCCCTGGTCCTTCCAGGTCCCCTTCACCCTGCCCACCTCCGGGTGCCTCCCCCATGGGGCCCGGCAGCTGTCTTGGGTTCAACCCCTCACCCTGCTCACTAAATTTTAGATATTTGAGGTGACAGCAACCAGGCTCCCTCGCAGGCACTTTCTGTGCTTGGTCCGGCAGGAGCCCAGAGGCGGGCGAGCCCTCTGACCCGACTCCAGGCCACGGATCCAGAGTTTACCTCCACCCTGCTCGTCCACTGGTCCCCGGAACCACGCCCTTCCTGAGCTCCGAATGCCACCTCATCTGCAGATAGGGTGGTTGTAGGTGGAATTAGTCAAGTTAGGACGAGGTCGTTAGGATGGGCTTGAAGCCAATTACGGTCAGAAGCAGAGAAAACCCCGCGTTGGAACAGACACAGGAAGCGCCCTGTGACCAGGGAGGCAGAAGTCAGAGTGACAAGGCTGCTGAGGGGCACCAGGGACCCAGCGTCACCAGAAGCAGAGAGAGGCCTGGGACCCACTGAACCTCTGAGCCTCCAGAAGGAGCCGACCCCATGGCACCTGGATCTCGGATTTCTGGTCTGCAGGCCACGGAGAGCAGCATCTGAGGTCTGTCCCCTCAGCAGAGCCCAACAGACTGGGGGTTCTTGGGCCTGAGGCACCAGCTGAGCAGGGGGACCTGGCCACCCGCCCACACCCAGCAGCTCTGCAGCCTGACCGTGGACCTGTTCAGCCCAGGCGAGGGCCGGTAGACTCTGTCCTCTCCAGCTGTGAGCTGTGCTGGGGGCGTAGGTTCCGGCATTTCTAGGTGCAGCCCCTGGAGCCCAGGCAATTCCCCAGCCTGCCAGCTGCACCAGTGGGGGTGCAGCAGCCCAGTAAGGTTGGGGGGTCCCCACCAGTGGCCACATGTAAAGCACAGGCCAGCACCAGGCACCTGGTGACGGAGCTGCTTCCCCTCCCTCCCCCTCCCCAGTTAGATGCAAGTCCTTGGGCAAGTTACTCCATCTGCAAAATGGGGCTCAGGTACTAAACATGGGCGCACGGGCCTCGCGGGTTCGCACTGGTCACCGTGGTTCCTGCAAGTTCCCAGGCCCCGCCTGACCCGCAGCGACAGTCCTGACAGAAAGTGGGTCGCGGTGCAGGCGCCTTTCGCTCGCTAACCTGGGCTCCTCTGGTGATGGAACCGACTGAACGTGGTCAGGAAGCATCGACACCTGGAAGGAACGTTCCCCGGGGACAGAACAGGACGCGGGCAGGGAATCGGGTTTCGGAAGCGGTTGTGGAGGGGAAGGGGAATCGTTCACCCCGGCCCCTGGCGACAGGAGACCTCAGTGGCTTCCAGGCCCTCGGATGATTCCGGGAGTGGTCAAGATCCTGGAGGCGCGAGGCCTCCGTGGGCCGCGAGAGGGCAGCAGCGGGAAGTATGAACAAAGACCCTGCGAGCGCGTCCAGCTCGAGTGAGGGCTCATTACCGACGCGAATTCCTTCAGGCCCGAGTCATCCCCGAGTGGCCCCAACTCCCACCAGCGTTCCATCCAACGCCCTGCCCGGGGCTGTGAGCCAGTCAGGGGGCGTCAGAGACCAGCAACCACTACAG